TGCCAACGGTTTAATATTGACGGCGGCCGAGAAGTAAGGAAATAAGGCTGCTTCTCTTGAGGCTCAGCTTCGGGTCGTCTAAAATGAAAGGAAATCGGCTCTAGAGAAGGTTTCCGCGTTGGAAATGCAGATCGAATCCTTGACGATGAATCACGCGGATGAGCTCTGTCGTGCGACTTACAACGCCATGAAAGATCTAGCTTATGGCTATCTGGATGTATTATTATCTCTAGGTTGAGTGGCCTCATCAGTATCAGGTTCAGGGATTACATTCCCCTAGGTATTCAGTTTCTAACCTATTGCATTACGCAGATGACCTTCCTGGTCATACAGGTCTCCATTCTCGTTCGCGGTTAGAATTAAAGCCGCAACCATTTCTCGCGGCCGAGTGCCGATCGATGTACGATGAGCGGTTTCGATCGATGTCAAGTGACCAGAATCGGTCAACGAAGAGTAGTATGTGATGATTGATGATGAAGCGAGGTCGGTTGGGGTGTTATGAGAATCGGTCGTTGACGAGATGTTACCGTCGATCGATGCATAACGTAGGTCTTTGCCGATTGAACGTTCCAAACTTGCAGGGTCTTCTGAAAATAAGAGCTGTTTTTCCTTGTTGCTTCTGGTTATGTTATGCATGCACCTAAAAAATCAAGAAAATTTTTTATCAGAAGATGATAAAAGAAAAAGAACAAGACAAACCTAGAATTATTAGACTACATCTAAAGGCTATCAAAGCTCCCCGGCAATAGGACCTAATTTGATGCTTGCTCAAATGTTCCTAAGCAGCAACTTACTCTCTCAAATAAGAGATCTATTGCAGTACGTAGGGATCAAATCCACAAGGAGCTATGGAACCTATTAAATCTAATCAATCAATAACCTAGGTGAATATAGATAGTAAACGCAGTAAACATGAAATATTCCAATTAAGCAAGACAATTACTTAATCGAGAATGAAATGAAGGTTTTTTAAAATGGAAAAGTATTAGACTTATGGCTTTTATTCAGGTATTAGGGATTATAATTATATATGATCTATCCAGTTGTTTGCATGGTATTAAAGAGCATTAACTATCTTAACAACGAATTTACTAAACTCTCGTTTAAATAAATAAATCTATTGACTAGAAGGTCGTTTACCTAGACAAGAATGTTCGATCATTGACACTGTCGATCGATTATTCTAGAGGTATATCAACCGATTCAATTTACTCATCATTGATTAATTTCTTATTGGAATATCGATCGACGAGTCCGGTCAAGCATTACACACGAGTTAACAAGGACTCACTAGGATATTAGATCAAACTCTCACTTTATTTCCAGTGAAGTCCTAATTTAATCAAGACGTGCTCAAGAATATCAGAGTTATTCAAAAGTGTTTAAACAACCTAACATTCCCAAAATCAAGTTTCTAGTTAGCAAGTCTAGAACAAGCATTAAGAATCATCCTATTAATGAATACCACAACAAGCAATCCTATAGTGGGGGCTAATCCCTTCAACCTATTTAAACCCTAATCTTAACAAGTGAACTACTTAGACATAGCTAGACAATTCATAACACCAATAGACAAGGGTATGGAGTGCCATTTGGGTTAACAAAGAGTGGTAAATGGAATAAGATAACCCAAATGTGTATGAGATCCATAACTAAGTATGCAAGTGCCCAAATGCAAGAGAGATCAAGTTCATTCAAGTCTAGATTCAGGCTGGATCTGGTTTTAAAAACAATGCCAATATCAAGCAAGCAAATACGTTTCAAGAAGAATTTTCAAGGCTCGAAGCATGCAAGGCTTTAAAGAGATGCCTAAGCTACTTGAAATGTTTATTTAGGGTGCAAATTTCAGTGCAAACAAGTGTTATGTACAAGGCATTTTCAATAGCTTGTCCATATGCAAGTGAATGCAACCTATATACTCTAGACTCAATCCTAAGAATGCAAGTAGTGCACTGGAGTTTCAATCACAAATCATTGGATTTTCAATCACAAATCTCTCTGGTGATCTTTTCTCCAAACTATAAACCCTTTAACCTTTTGCTGTGAAAAGAATACAAACCTTAGGACTAATGGTCACAAACTACAGCTTGCCTTATTGCCTAACAATAAACTAGGATGGCCTAACAAATTTGATTCATACGAACATTATTCGAGTGAGTTAGGGAACTTATCAAACCCGTGCGTAAAGCTTTCTGGAAGTGCGATCAATCGATGCTCACATAGAGAAATCGATCGACGCTTACGAAAGGTGTATCGGTCGATATTCGCATAGAATCATCGATCGACACTTTCTATTGATCAACATGCGACAGCTGAGATCATCAGATCTAGATTTAGATAATATAAACATGCGACAGCTGATAGATTATGTATAAGTTTGAGGTAAAGAATAAACAGTAGTCAAGAATTCATAGGAACACTAATAAAGATACTTGTCATACCTAAGAAAATACCTTAATCTAGCTATCTCCCAAATTGTCACAACCTCAACTCAAACAAAATTGAAAAACTACCTTGTTCACCCCTTTCAATTACTGTTTAAACCTAATCATCTAGCTTTATTCTGAAATCTATAAATCTATCGTATAATCCTAGAGTCTCTGTGGATTCGATTCATAAGTACTGCAACTGAACCTCTTATTTGAGAGAGTAATTCACTTCTTCGGGCAATTTGAGTGATATCAAATACCCAGTCATGCTTCCCTTTGATCTTCAGCCTTAACCCTTCCATGTGTTAACTCCACCATCTCGAAAAGGAGATATGTTCCTTTATCTTTTTTCTATGCAATTATGTTCAGACTCTGTGATCTCACTAACACCCGCAATCAAAACATGGATTGCTCTGATACCAACTTATTATGAATTATTGATCGTTTGGTTAATTATTTTTTATGTCAACAAAAAAAATTATAATAGTTATTTAACACAATGAATTTAATCACCGAATTTCTTATCTTGAACCGGTATATATCGGGTGAAAACCGTCTCCTACAACTTCTACCATCAATCAAATAAGTTTACACAAATGCTATAAATATTCTCCTCGTATAAAACATGACACCAACCAAACCACTTCATGATTAAGAAAAATCATAGAAAGTTTCTCCCGTAAAGACATGACTCGAACATTGTTTTGGCTTAGTTCTTCTATTCTGATCTCTCACTTAACTCCTTCTTTTTTTTTTTTTTTTTGTGTTTTAGGGTTTCTCCTTTTTCTCTGGTGATCCTTCTTATCAACGTCCTTGGTTTCTTTTATAATCAAGCTGTAGCCCGCTTTGTACGTGATGCATTTTCTTTTTCCCATATGATTTCCAATTTCTCTTGCTAGTGGGTTTTGTCTATGTATAGCCCAATTTCAGAGATTATAAGGACAAGATGGAAGGCCCAGCTGAAGCAAAAAAGCCCACGATTATAAGCTATGCTTGTGCTATATCAGTCAGTATACTAGGTTTTTGACATGCGTAGGTACCATTATTGTTGTTTTATCTACAGATGGATTGATTATTTTTTTTTTCTTTTGATGATATAAAAATGTTATTGTCTAATAGAAGTTTAACTTTCTAAAACTATTGTAGATTTTAATTTATTATTATCCTCAATATCTATGTAAATGTATTATATGTAATTGTGTAGTTTTATTCTTGAAAAATAATATCATTTAACTACGCTTGGTGCTGGAAAGCGGGTCAGACTCACGCTGCCCGACTCGTCTGACCCACAAAGAAAATAAATTTTATCTGTATCCGCCCCACTTAATTTTCGGATAATCCACGGGACCTGCGGATAATTATTAATAATAAAAATAATTATTTTTTATTTTTTTTCTAAAAAATAATATGAAATAGTATATTTTTAATTTTATTTTTAAAAAATAATTATTTAACGAATTTTGTATATTTTTGAAATATTATTTTTTAAATTTTGTTTTCTATTTTTCAGATTACAGGATACCACAATTGAAATTAGAACAATTTGCATCCGTCCCGTGTATTATGTATTTGACCTGCACCCTCACTCACAACTTAGTTTTTTTCAAATATTGATTGATCTATTCCGTGGGGGGTCGAATGAGGCAGAACTAACACGCTAATAGTTATAAGGTGAATATGATCCATTAATAAAATCTATTACTATATAGTTTTTAGATCAAAAATACAAAGACTAAATTGCCATTAATAAAAAATTAAATTTTATTTATAATATTAGGAGTATTTTTTGAAAACATAAAAATCTCATTAAAAGAAGTCCTGATTTAATGGTATTGATTCGGAAGTACAATCAAATGCCCGGTTACAGTTTAATGGAGTGGCCATTGTGACTGATGTTCGATGAAATGAAACATTGTCTCTAATTATAAGTGAAATACACACCATGATTTATCATCAAAAACAAATTTCAAATTTAATAAAATAATAAAACATTTACAACTTATTTTAAATAAAACTTTTATATTAAAATGAAACAAAGCTGGCGCTAAACACGGATTAGACTGTAGTTAGTCATTATAATCCTACTATATTTATGTGATTATCAAATTTTTCAACGCACGACAACTGTTCATCATAAAGAAAGGGTTTAGGGTTTTTGCTGTCTCTCTCTACGGCGTCGATCTATCTGAATTCAAAATTTCTTCCTTCTAGGTTGTTCACTATTCATGAGAAAAATCTTAAATCTATTGTATTCTTCATGATTTTGTTCATCTTGTTCATAATCCACAAACTATATATGTAAAGAAATTTCAAATGACAATTTATAGCATTGGCTTCTTCTGCAACCAATATGGCTATGCATGCGTATTATTTTGATAACAATTAATTGCCTATATATGTGGACAGAAATTACAAAAAAGGATAGAAGATCTTTTCTTTTCTTTTTTTACGGATAGAAGATCAAAAGAATGATCATCTCGTCTCGTGATAGTTTAGTCATTAAGTTTTTCAGAAAAGAAAAATTGAAGAAAGAAAAATTAATACATCATTAATAAAACTTCTTTACAAATACTATCTTGCGCTAGGGAAAACATTGGTATCAAAGCTCATGGTCATTTCAAGGGAACTATCAGAGTCGATATCCTGATTCTTACTTCTCATTAAATTCTCAGAAGTAAGACACTCTTTTAGTCCACTAATAACTTGGGACATGTTTGGTCGTCTTTGGGAAGAGGGGTTTGCACATGACATAGCCAATTCAAGAGCCTTCCACACAGAATTTGAGTTGTAATCACCGCAAAGACTAGGATCCATAATCCTGGTAATATCCCCCCTGTTAAGGACAAATGCTACCCATTCTGTTATGTGTGGCTTTTCACGGTTTTGGTCAATCACACGTTGGTTTGTGAGCATCTCCAATAATACAATCCCAAAGCTGTAGACATCACTCATCTCGGCCAAGCGGCCTGTTCTATAATATCTGACAAAGCAATGAAATTTACCATGAATCACATGTATTTAGTACACAGACTTATATGTATAGAGACACAAATTTTAACATGACTGGGTGAAATTCACATCTAGGGTAGTCTAACACTAGCTAAAGATGATCCAGTTATAAACAAACATATATAGTCTTTTAAAATACTTACTCAGGATCAAGATATCCAGGAGTACCAGCAACAACCGTTGAAATATGAGATTCATCTCCGAGTTGGAAAGATATAGAAAGACCAAAATCCGCAATCTTAGCTGTGAATTCCTGGTCCAATAATATATTCGTACTTTTGACATCTCTATGCACCATTGATGGTCGACAACCAGTATGTAAGTATTCCAATCCTTCAAAACATTGTCAAATGTTAATATCTAAATATTGTTAAAAGAATCTGAAAATATCAACCTATTTTGAATTTAGAACTGTTGTCACTTCTATGAACATTCTGTAACAAAATTTTCAATGGCAAAAAGCATTCGATTTAGAAATATATTTTTCAATCGGGTAGGTGGTGTTAATATGATTTTAAATTTAAAGTTTCTGATCACGAGGAATGTTTTGTTTAAACTATTAAACTGACTAATATCTAGTTGGGGTTAGTAAGAACCAAGTGCGGCATCAATGGCTATTCTCAATCGAGTACTCCACTTCAAAATAGAAACATCATGTTTTCCTGCATCAAATTAAAAAAAAAAATTTCAGATCATCTGCTTTTTCTATTAACAAATGAATGCTAATATTCATATTCATCTTTCACCTGATAAATGATGTTTTAAATCCACATTGGGCATGTATTCATAGATGAGAGCTAACTGATCTTGTTCATCGCAATACCCGACAAGGCTGACCAAGTTTTTGTGGTGAACTCTCAGCAGAAGTTCAACCTGCTTACAATCAACGAATACAAAATATGAAATGTATTAGCTTAATTAACATGGTATACTGAAATATATATAGTGCATTATTCACTCAAACATATGTGTATATGTTACAAGTTCTTGAGAAGATTACGATGATTACATGCATACCTCTGCCTTAAAATGTTTATAGCCTTGCGATGATGATTGGGAGAGTACTTTAACAGCAACTTCCTCTGAACCATTCAAATAACCATGATATATGATGCCAAAGCCTCCTTCACCAAGAGCTCTTTGAAAATTGTTTGTCATTTTTGTAACCTCTGAATAATTAAACTTTCTCTTTTTCATCTTGATTGATACTTCAGATATACTACTACTAGTAGATAAAATTGGTGAAGGTGACATGTCTGTAGAAAGAAATAATTATTGAAAAATAATGCATGTAATACTTTGTAATATATAATTTGTTGGTTTGATGCATCAAATACCTTCCACATGAGTTGTTGATATTTTCTTTTTGCACATACACATGAGAACCAGTACAACCAGAATGATCACAATGGCAGAAGCAGGTATAACGAATATCATTGGAATTTTGAAAATTGGAATCTTTAAATGTATAAACCCTGTTGCATCCAAAGATAATAGTAATTGAAAATCATGTTCTTTTTTGTACTCATATAACTTGGCATAGAATGGGTTATATATGATGTTTTCTTATACTAATCTCTATAATATTATTTGAGAAGTCACTTACTTAGGTGTCGCGCTTACGTTAATTTTTACGCTGGTTGATTACTATGATACCCATAATGAACTAAAAGTATATTTAAATATTATTATTTTCTTTTTAAAATCTTCCAAATAACAATATAGAACAAAAAGGAAATATTTTTAAAATTTACAAAACTATTTAAAACGAAAAACAAGTATATATAATATGGTTTCATAAAAAAAGAAAGTTTACAAAATAGTAATATTTAACTTAAATATATTTTAATAGCATAAATTATACTTTTTAAGTAATTATACTTTATATCTATATCTTCTTAGATGAAAAAAAAATTGTATATAATGTGTTTTCATATAAAAATTTCATACAAATAATCTTGATTTTAGAAAAAGAAATATTTTTTCTTTAAAAAATAAATACTATTATTTCCTTTTTAAAATCTTCCAAATAAAAATATAAAACAAAAAGGAAATATTTATAAAATTTACAAAACAATTTAAAAACGCAAAAAATAAGTTTATATATAATATGGTTTCATAAAAAAGGAAAGTTTACAAAATAGTAATATTTAACTTAAATATATTTTTAAATAGCATAAATTATACTTTTTAAGTAATTATACTTTATATCTATATCTTCTTAGATGAAAAAATTGTATATAATGTGTTTTCATATAAAAATTTCATACAAATAATCTTGATATTAGAAAAAGAAATATTTTTTCTTTAAAAAAATAATTTCAACAATAAAATATATATTTTCAAAGTAATTAGTTTTTGTATATATCTATCTATTTTATTAGATGATTTCATAAATAATTAAGTAACATAAACTGATATATGTTTAATTGACAAAAAATTATAATTAGTATATTTATTTGATTATAATATCATACAGTTACAGCAAAAAATATAAATTATATTTTACTTATATAATATAATTTCTCAAAACAATCACATTTTTACTGCATATTTTAAGAGATATTAAAAACAAAACTAAAAATAAATTTAATAATAAACATCTTTTGATCAAATAACTACAATTCTTTTAAAATATCATAACACTATATAATTTAACGAGGTAGATACATTATATTTTAATAGTTAAAATTATATGTTTTCTTAATAACTCTTTTGATGTTTAATTTTCTGTTTTTATGTTTGTGGAATTTAATATAACCACAATCAAAATACTTAAGCAAATCAGAATTCCTTATTTTAAAAATTATTTAAAATAAATTTCAGTTTACCATCCAATCAATCTAAGGCAAAAATTATTTAAAATTTATAAAATATTTAATTATTGAAAATATTGATATGTGTTCATAAGCTTCCAAAAATTTATTATTAATTATATATGTAATTTAGAATCAGACACTTTAGTTTTTATTTTTTCGTTCTAAGCACAAAAAATCTTAAAATACATAATCTTACTAAGATATACTTATATTTCTAAGATAACAACCAACATAAATGTATATAAAACAATTAATCAAAAATTTAAGATATTTAGAATAAAAAAGATTATAGTTGAATTCAGAGAAATGGATAGAATCCAATATATATATATATATATCCAAATGATAAAACTGACTAAATATAATATATCTAAAATTATATATAACTAAAATAATATAATATTATTAATATAAATCATACATAAACACTATAAACTAATATAAAAATTAAAGTAAATATCAATCAACTATTATAATATATTTATTTTATAAATATTTATGCCCGTGCATGAACACTGGAAAATCACCTAATACTAGTATTAAATAAAAACTATTTTCATTATCAACGACTCGCATAAAATTTAGTCGATCCAACCTATTTTGCAATTGACCTACATTGATAGATGATTATATGACTAGTTCACCATATATGTAGGTATGATTTCAAAAATATGGTCAATCAAGCTGAATTATATATGATTTTGTATAGATTTTTTTCTTTTCTTATTTTGAAATCAAAATAACGGAAACCAAGCCAGAAATGTAATTAAACCAAACCAAACAGAAGAATTTAATTCAATAAAATTATTGTAAGTCTCATATATTATTGGGTTTAAAATCCATCATATGGAAATCAGCTGCCAAGATCACAAGTAAATAAGAAAACAGTTCGTAAGAGTTATGTGCAAGATGTTCGAGACACGACTCTTTCCGAGGAAACCTAAGACTTTATTACTAAACTAGCTAGAGATTAGCGCCTAATATGAGAATTTTAAATATAAGTGAACTTACTATATATTTCAGAACACTTGGATTGTGAATATATTTTAGTAACGCATTGTTGGATTATACATTTATATATAGATCATGATTCGTGGGAAACTAATGTTGACATGATAATAAAAGAAAAAAATAGTTCAAGGGACATAACAGTATTTGTGTGTGATTATTATCCTAGAAAGACATATAAATAATTTTGTAGATACCATTGGAATAATTAAGGAAACACATTTTTTTTTCTGTTGAAATCTCTATCTCTCTCTTTTGTTCTTACAAATTCTTCATTTAACTCTCTTAATTCTATCAAATCTTACATGGTATTAGATCTTTTTAGCTTTTGAGACCTAATTTTCTTCTTTCTCTGTTAGTTATTGTTGGTGTCAAAAACCGTAATCTCGAAATCAACGTCTACGATAATTTCTATTAAGAGTAAAATCATTACTTTCCGCAAAAAGAAAAATAGAACAAGTTTTATAAAACTCGAGAAATCGTTTTATTAAATTCTAATAAATTTCCAAACAAAGGAAATCCGCGGAAAATTCAGAAATCGTTATCTCAAAAGAACGAAACAAACATCAATTAGGCTATTGTCTGAGTTAAGCACGAAACCGCGAAAAACCGCATCCGCCGTAAACCGCGAGCTAGTTCGATCAAGACTAGTTCGCCGTAGTCACATCACGACTAGCTCAGCGTACGGCGAGCTAGTCACATCACGACTAGCTCGGCGTACGGCGAGCTAGTCACATCACGACTAGCTTTCCGTACGGCGAGCTGAACCGGTCTGGTTCGGCTCGTCGTACGTCGAGCCGACCATCCCGAGCCTCGATCTCCCACATCCTCGATCTCCCACATCCTCGATTCAAGGCATATGTCCTTCGACACGATCATGTTCCGAACCATGGTCGAAATGTCTCCTGTTTCGTCTTGATCCGTCCTATTGTTCAAGTTTTACGATAAAAACCATAAAACTTTGTTTTCTCGAAAATAACTCAAGGAAATCGTATAAAACGGAAACAGTTAAACGAAACACCAAACATCGCCTAAACTATACGATTTATTCGAGATTTTTCGTAAAAATCGTAAAAAATGCGTTTTTAATGAAAAACTTCGAGTGAACCGTAAAAGCGGCAACGATTGACCCAAAAACAAACTTAGCTAAAACTTTACGATTAACTCGAGGAATTTATTAAAAATGGCATCGAATCAGGAAACGGTCTCGTATAAAGTCGTAAAATGGATTTATCGCAAAACGGCTCGGAAGATCCTAAAACGTGATAAAAGCCCATCTCACGATTTTAACGAAACCTAACCCGAAGATACGGTAACGTTTTGACAATTTACCCGCAGAAGGAAGATAAATGTCAAGTTTGCAGGTAAATGTCAAGTTTGAAGATAAATAGAAGATTTCCGCGGGAAAAAAGGAAAAATAAGCATAAAAGGAAGATTCTCGATAAACTCGAATCTGAACGAAATGGAAGGACCAAACCGCCAAGGAAGGGAGTATATAAGCAAGAGGCATAGGGCAGAAGCAGAGGACGAAAATTAGACCTAGAAAGGCGGCTGTTAGCTTAGGCAAATTTAGGACTTAGGTGTGTAGACTAGCAAGTCGGATCCTTAGAACGTTTTGACGTCTAAGTTCCGCGATTCTCTTTGTAACAGCAGTCAATCTTTTATTCAATAAAGCTCTCACGAAAATTCTTTATCTGTATTCTGTTCGTCGTTGCTCTTGTTCATCTGTATTTTGTTAACTTTGTTCGTTTTAGTGATTTTCGCAGAGATCCAGGACCTTAGGAGAATTAAGGTTTTCCCTAAGTTTCCATATTTAACGGAAAAATTGACGGTGTGGATTTCAGTTCTCACAGTTTGGCGCTAGAAGGAGGGGGGTCGGATTCTCTTACACAATAATCGCTAGAACGAACGAGAAAAGACATGACTAACCTTAACGGCGACGTCTCGTTCAAGAAAAGAGCAACGATCGATTCGTTCAAACCTCTCAACGATCTTCTAGTCATCGAGCTGGCGATCGAGAATATGGATGTTGCAAGGATATTAGTTGATACCGGAAGCTCGGCTGATATCATCTTCAAAAACACTCTCGAGAGAATGGAAATCAATCTGTCTGAAATCACGGAAAACGCAAGCCCGCTAGTAGGACTCTAGGGAGAAGTCACCATGACTCTCAGTACGATCAACATTACGGTTTGCGCCGGGGGCATAGTGAAAAACGTCCAATTCCAAGTCGTCGACCGACCCATGTCTTACAACACGATCGTAGGGACACCGTCGTTAAATTCGATGCAAGCGGTTCCGTCGACGTACCACATGTGTCTTAAGTTTCCGACTCCGTACGGAATCGAGACCATATGAGGAAATCGGAGA